ACACACACACACACACACACACACACACACACACACACCACTTACCTATTTACAAATAAGTGATGCAAACATGCTGAACTCTTTTCTTTCTTTCAGAGGGATCAGAGTGAGTTAACAGTAAACCAGAAACCTGGAAAACACCCAAAGGAAGCACGGGTACGACCCACAACTTTATTACAAAGTTTTTGTGTTGCAGCATTTTTTTTTTTTTACCTCTTAAGTCCCTTTTTTTCCAAAATATACTATCTTGTGAGGACCCACCGCTCCTTATGGGGCCCATAATTTCAAATACTGTGTGTGTGTTGGGGATTGTGTTTAGGACTAWGGTRTGAACTGAGGACAGGTTTGGTACGTACATGGGGTGGTTAAGTCAGGGTTTGTTATAAAAATGAATGAAAAACAATTAGAAGTCAATGAATAGGGTTATTGGTCTATAATAAAATGTAAATCTAAGCTTCTTTTATCTCTGTTCTGTCTGCACACTTTGATACAATCAGCTAAAACTTTTCAACAATTAGGAACAGACATTTTAAGTAAGAATTTACCCAGAAAGTTCAATTTGCATTTGTTGCTCAGAATTAGAAAAGGCTGAATATATTTTAGAGAAAATATGTTCTTTGAGGAGCAACAAATCGTAAAACTTGAAGCTTAATTTTCCTACATTCAGGAATGATTTGTTACTTGATTTCAGACGAAAGTCTCAGTTGGTTCAGATATTTTAGGTGTGTTTGTCCCGAAGCAAAGCTGGTATTTCCTGTTTGTCTGGTGTGTGTGTGTCCTTTCACCTGCTCTTGTTGATGTTGTGAGGTTTCCTCTTTCACCAGAGGCTTGAACAGGTTGGGCTTCTCAGTATTAAAGGAAATRCTTTGGCAAGAAAACATTCCTTTTTCCTGAGTTTTAATGAAAAAGAACTGTTTGGGAGTAAGATTTATCAAAAAAAAAACTTACACAAAACAAACAAATGTGTAAAATGTTCATCTTTCTGCATTGTGTATATGTTAATCTTGTCTATTTTAGTGATTCAGCTACTTATAAGCTAAGACAAAAACTTAAATGACCATTTTTTTTGATCTTATCAAAGCACTGCCTGCAGAAGCTGATGAGCGCCCTCTGCTGGACAGTATATTAAATTACAAAAAATAGAAAAAAATATAACATGGAGTTGGGTAATGTTTATGGGCAAGAAAAAAAATGTGTGTTTAATTTTACTGGAATGTAACAAATGTAGAAACGTTCCCACCCTTCTCCATCTCTGGCCCACATGTTCTGTGTCGTGTCTCATTGGACACAAACTATTATAATAGTTTGTAAGGTTTTGAATAAAGTGCAGAGTATTTCCCTGACAGATGAGTTTTAAACAAAGCAGACATGTTATTAGAAACATAAATGAAGGGGATAAATGAATGCAGCAAATAAATCTTCATTTTATCTCTGCTTCTTTTTTGTTTAGCTCACCAAAAGAAACGTGGGTCCGAACTCGTATGTGGAATTATCTGTTGATAGGGATGTTCAGAAGAGCAAGGTGCTTTATTTTGTTCACATTATATACATTTCTATTTAATTCATCATTAAATTACTAACTTTTTGAATGTGTTCATTTATTTTCTCACAGTTGTCCTTTTGCTGATTCGTGTCTTTCTGCAGGTTGTATATACAAATAAAAACCCGGCGTGGGAGCAAGGCTTCACTTTCTTTGTGCACAACATCAAAACCCAGAAGCTCGTGGTCCAGGTCTGTCAAAACGCTCGTCCAGCACAGCGTAATGGTTTAAACCCTCCATTTGTCTTCTGCTGCAATGATACTAATGTTGAGGGTTAAAGCAGTGAATAAATGGTTTATGATCAAACCTGACAATAAAATAAGTAGTTTTTCATAGTTTTTTTCTTGTTTGTGTTGGTTCTGTTTAGGTCAAAGAGCATGAGAAGAAGTCTGTGCTCGGTGCTTTGGACATACCCCTCAGCCGCCTCTTCAGCATCTCCAACATGACTCTGGATGAGAACATGAATCTGCAGTGCTCTGGAGCAAACAGCCAGATCAAACTGAAGGCAACTATGAGGGTCCGTATGAGCTCGCTCTGTCTCTTTCATCTTAACTGTTTCTTTTGTCTTTTTCTCTTTCAGCTGGTTTCTTTGTTCACAGAGGCGTATCAAAAAGTTGCACTTCCATAATAAATAAAAAACAAACGAACAAAAGAAACAAACAAACAAACAAACAAAGAAAGAAAGAAAGAAACAAAGAAGCAAAGAAACATACAAACAAAGAAACAAAGAAGCAAAGAAACATACAAACAAGCAAAGAAACAAACAAAAAAAAGAAACAAAGAAACAAACAAGGAAACAAAAACAAACAAAGAATCAAACAAAGAAGCAAAGAAACATACAAACAAAGAAACAAACAAAGAAACAAACAAAGAAGCAAAGAAACATACAAACAAGCAAAGAAACAAACAAAGAAACAAAGAAACAAACAAAGAAACAAACAAATAAGCAAAGAAACACACAAACATACAAAGAAACAAACAAACAAACATACAAACAAAGATGCAAACAAAGAAACAAAGAAACAAACAAACAAAGATACAAACAAAGAAACAAACAAAGAAGCAAAGAAACATACAAAGAAACAAACTAACAAAGATACAAACAAAGAAACAAACAAAGAAGCAAAGAAACATACAAAGAAACAAACTAACAAAGATACAAACAAAAAAACAAAGATACAAACAAAGAAACATACAAAGAAACAAAGAAACAAACAAGGAAACAAACAAGGAAACAAACAAAGAAACAAACAAAGAAACAAAGAGGCAAAGAAACATACAAGGAAACAAACAAAGAAAAACAAACAATGTGACTGGAGCCAAAAAAGCTCCAGATTTTTTCTTCATCAGTCAAATGTTTGGGCTTTTTGTCTACGTGACTTTTGTTGACCATTAATGGTTTTTATGATATCTAACACCTGCTATGTCTTCCATCTCAATAGGTTCTTACTGTGGAACCACCGCCCCCCAAAACTGTTCCCACGACCCCAAAAACTGTTGCCACATCTCCCCCCAATGCTCAGAAACCACCAGTCAAACCAGCAGGTACCACCCCGGGGTCCGCCCCCTCTCCTGCTGCTGCTGCTGCTGCCGCTGTGGTTCCCACCAACGTTGCCCCCGTTGCCTCCTCTCAGTCCCGCCCGGGCGATCCCAACGAGAATTATTCGGCCCAGGGGCGCCGCAGCTCCTTCCTGGTTTCTGAATCCGAGAAGTCGGCCTCGAATTTGAACATGAGACGGTACGACTCCCACAGCCTGCTGTCGGAGAACTCCATCGCGTCGTCACGGTTCGACATCTCGGAAGGAGCTGCCTACCCGGAGTGAGTCTATAGATCCGTCCTGGTCTCTGTCAAACCTGAAACGTTGATTTTTGCCTGACTGACCCTAATATAACAGGAAATCACACATTTGGCTTTTCTTTTTCCTTTAGAGCTGTTAGAAACCACGAGGGCTCATTTGGAGAGATCCACCTGACTGTAAAATACGCTACGCTGAGGAAGAAACTTATTGTCATTGTTCATGCCTGCAGGTTTGTTGCAGCAAAACAGTTGTTTGTGTTTACGGCTGTTAAACCATGTTTCTCACTCTGCAAGTCTGTAAACATCTAGAAACTGCAGGGGCCTCGTTTATAAAGGATTGTGTAGAATTCATACTAAAAGTGAACGTACGGCATTCAACCATAAACAGTCAATGCAAAGCACCTCATGAATAAGGTGTGTTTAAATGAGTCAGCTGATCAATGCCAAGTAAAGCGATTGGCTGGATGACTGCTCACGTGAACAGATTGTCCCTCATTTTGTTGTCATTTTCTGGTCTAAATTAAACAAAATATGATTTATGAATTTTCCAAATCTTTGCATTCTTTTCCATATTATACATCAACTTTTTTCCCCCTGATTTGAGGTTTTGAATTCATTTTTCCGCAGGAACTTATTCCCCTGCAGCGAGAGCGGCACAGACTCCTACGTCCGCCTGTACCTCCTGCCCGATCAGTCCTGGAGACACCGCAAGAAGACGCACGTCAAGAGGAATACGGTCAACCCCGTCTTTCAGGACAAGTGAGCCGAATAATTCCTCCCGTTTGTTTTTATGTGTTAAAGAGGAGAATCTATATTGTTTCCTCTTTCCTTGCAGGTTTGAGTTTGATACGTTGCTTGTCGAAGCGCAAACCAGGAAGCTGGACGTGTCGGTGAAAAATAACAAGATGTTTCACACAAGAGAGAGGAAGGACATCGGTATGGTAGGTAGAACTTCTAAACCAGGGGTGGGCAATCCTGGTCCTCGAGGGCCGCAGCCCTACATGTTTTATGTTTTTCCTGCTCCAACACACCTGATTCAGCCACTGATTTACCTTCCAAGTTCTGCAGTATGGAGGTCCAAAACTGACATAATTATAAATAAAAGCAGAAATATATAAATAAACCACTAAATAAATAAATACACTTAAAATGCACCAATTCAA